CAGCTTAATGTATGCTCAAACCTGTACTCGGCCAGATATCAGTTTTGCAGTCGGGATGTTGGGCAGATATCAAAGTAATCCAGGAATGGAACATTAGAAAGCTGTAAAGAAAGTTTTAAGATACCTTCAAGGCACGAAGGATCACATGCTCATGTACAAAAGGTCCAACGAATTAGAAGTAATTGGATATACTGATTCAGATTTTTGGTGATGTCATGATAGTAGAAAGTCAACCTTTGGCTACTTGTTTATGTTTGCCCAAGGAGCCATATCTTGGAAAAGTGCAAAACAGTCTATCGTTGCTCCATCCACTATGGAGGCAGAATTTGTGGCATGTTTTGAAGCCACAATTCATGCATTATGGTTGCGGAACTTTATTTCAGGGCTTGCAGTTGTCGACACCATTAGTAGACCGCTGAAAATTTACTGTGATAATTCTGCTGCAGTATTCTTTTCTAAGAACGAGAGGTACTCTAAAGGTGCCAAACATATAGAGTTAAAGTATTTTTTCGTTAAAAAGGAGGTTCAGAAACAAAGAGTGTCAATTATGCACATCAGAACCGAACTCATGATGGCAGACTCTTTGACGAAAGGGTTACGACTAAAGCTATTTAAAGAACATGTTGAAGGTATGGACCTTGGTTGTATTAAAGATTATTGATGTGTGACACTCTCAGCTCACCTATGTGTTCTGACATACATTATGTTTCCTTGTTATTTTATGGTTGTATACATATTATGAATTTTGACTAGGAAGTCTTTGTAAGACATTATGTGGACCATTATGTTTCCTATATTATGAATTTTATATGATTGATTGTTGGTGTTGTAGTATATGAAAGTGAATGTACTGAATTAATAGCGCACTACCGTCATAACTCACACTTGACAATTTATCTTTCATGATGACTTACAGTAAAGATGAACATGTATATGATGATTAATCGGGCCAAGTGGGAGAATGTTAGAAATATTAAGAGTCAATTATAAAATTAAAAGGATGTTATTATAATTATAATATTAAGACTCTTGATGTTAACCATTAAACGTTATACGGCCCAATTAATTACTGATACATTTAATCTCAATCATGTCATTGATTTGGTATATGATGGACGTACGAGATTATAAGTTATGGAATATATATTATGGAGGGTCCTCTCTCCTTTCACCCTAATGTCATTCTCTCCATCAGAATACATCGAAAGAAAGAAGGCTTAGAGAGAGAAACTACCCCAATACAATTTCTGACAAGATAACTGCTGTTAATTTTTCATCATCATTTTCGGGTATGTCTTTATCTCTTATTTGTATGTGAAAATTATGTATTCCCAAGATTCTTTATCATGTTCTTATTTTATGATTTATGAACATTATATATTATGCAAATTAACATAAAAGATAAAATTTCTCTTATATGAGATAAGAGAAATAAAACTCATCTTTCAACACGTAAGTACAAATCAAATTAACTTGCATTCAAACCACAAAACACAAATCCTTTCAACACTGCGTCAGTTTCATAAAGAAAAAAAGAACGATTACTTATTTATACTCGACGCGTTCACAACCAAAACGTTTAAAACCAGTCAAAATTTCTGAGTGAATATTCAATAATTTGCATTACATTTTTTATTTTATTTTTTGGACATTACAAGGAATTAAACCGCGCACCTAATACACGTTAAACACACCTAACACCACTAGGCTATCCCTAGTGCTAATTTGCATTACATTTCAAACAAGTCAAAATGTTCACAACTAAAGTATTTAATACTGACTGCATATTCATTTTCATTGATGATCTTTTTCAGTAATTATAAAAATATTCTGCCTAATTATCAAAAAAATTAATTAATAAATAAAATATTCTTCCTCGTATTTAAACCAGTCGATACTTCTGTTTCTTTTACTTTCACGTCAAACAGATAAATAAATATGTCTGCACTTTCATATTGACTTTTAAAAAACAGATTTTGTAAATATGAATATTATATTTTATATGAATTTATGATAGGATAAGACATTATGTTTATTTTTTTCTTCCATAATTTATTTTTTTCCCTCCACACTGTTAAATCATCATCTTTAGGTAAAACGGTAAAAGTGAGAGAAGAGAGAAAATGTGAAGGTGTTGTGATTTAACCATGCAGAGAGAAGTAAAAATAATAGGTATGAAAAAAATAGACATAATACTTTATCTTATTTATGATATTAAGATACCAAATGGTAAGAAAACCGTGTTCATCAATTTGAGAATACAATCTCATAATTCTACAAATATATTTAAAAAATAAATATAGGTGTTAACGTTTCTCCGAAATAAAATTATTTCTTATAGCCTCAAAATAAAACTGTTTTAAGATTTAAATAAAAGCAGATATCTTAGTAAAATTTATTATACAAAAGAAAATATAATTTCTAAAATACTTTCTTTTTCTTTTTCTAAACTCCAAAACAACATTCTTTGGTAGAGATAACTTCTTCTCGAGGAGATACACTTTTGCAATAAACATAATAACTTAGATATGTGTAATAAAAACATCTTTACATAAAGCGTTAAGAAATTCAATGTCGGTTTTAAATAATATAAACTTTATATGATGTATAATTTTTGCTTTTAGTTTTTGAGAAAATAATCCTTAATGTCATCTGATTGTTAGTACAAGATGCATTTATAAAAAAAGCAAGTTTTACCGATAAAAAATTAATATCTTTTCATCAAAATTCATAACTTTCATATATATATATATATATATATATATATATGGATTTGATGTTTGTCATTTTAAATGACATAAGTTATGTCATTTTAGGAGAGAAATAGACACATGGAATAGAAATCATGGGAGAGAGAAAATGAGTGGTTTTTTTAATTTAAATTTTAAATAAAAAAATAAAATTATGTGTCTATTTCTCTTTTAAAATGACGTAAGTTTATGTAATTTAAAATGACTATAGATAACTTTTATTTAAAGTGACAGTAATATATATATATATATATATATATATATATATATATATATATATATATATGAGGCAGGATCTTTTGACACCGGTGTCAAAATTGAAATTTGACACCTTATCTGAGAGCCGTTAGGTCTAAAAAGATCAATGGTGTCACATGCTTACAAATCAGAGTCGTTGATCTTTTTTGATCTAACGGCTCTCAGATGAGATATCAAACTTTAAATTTGACACCGGTGTCCAAAAATTCTGCCTATATATATATATAGAGAGAGAGAGAGAGAGAAAACACTTCTCCAAGAAATGGTGTCTCATGCACTAGAGACAATCCATATGTGATCCATCCGTTTTGATGGGTGTGCAGGAGAAGTTTATATATAAAAAAAGAAAATATTACTCTCCTTTTACGTAAGATAACTTCTCTCGTACTCTCTCTTCGATTATCGCACCTCCCATTTTCCTTTTTTTTCTTGTAATGGTGGGACCCACCTATTTTCTCTCTACAACATAAGATAACTATCTTATGTAAAAGGAGAATAATAAAACCCATAAAAAAAGGCTCTGCACCTAGTTTGATGGGTGTGCAGGAGAAGTTTTGTTGAGATATATAATCTCATATTGGTTGTATGTGCAACTAATGTGGAGTTTATAAGGCCTTGGGCACTCCCACCCTTTGAGCTAGCTTTTGGGGTGGTGTATCTCAAGGTTCTTTGCATGGTATCAGAGCCTCGCCGTCCCCCACTTTCTCTTGTGGAGTTTCTTAGCACATGTAGGCTGGCCCTGTTGCATTGTCCACGCTTCAAGCCTAAAGGGCTCTCGTGTGAGGGGGCGTGTTGAGATATATAATCCCACATTGGTTGTATGTGCAACTAATGTAGAGTTTATAAGGTCTTGGGCACTCCCACCCTTTGAGCTAGCTTTTGGGATGGTGTATCCCAAGGTTCTTTACATTTTTATCTTCTTCTCCTGTTACGAGTAAGTTATTAATTATCCATATATATATATATATATATATATATATATATATATATATATATATATATATATATGACTTTGATGTTTCGGGAATAGTGTTTTTCATATTGTAGAAGATAATTTTATCTCTTACACCGATATAGAAATGTGTAAGACCCATTTTTTTTTTCCATTCTCTTAACCTGGATGTACATGGACCCTACACACTTCTATATATGCGTAGAAGATAAAATTATTTCATAAAATATGAGAAACATTAATCCCATATATATGTAGGGTGCATCTTATATCCGGTCACTGCATTATATATATATATATATATATATATATATATATATGAGAATCGGGTGTTATAAGATTTTATTCACTTACCGCATTATAACTATATATTCTGGGGAGTACATAATTATAATATTAAAGTTGTTGTTTTTTTTTTTTTTTATCTCTTCGCGTCAGCCAACAATTTTAAAGTTTCTAAAGAGAGGGAAAAAACAACAACTTTAATATTATAATTATGTACTCTCCAGAATATATAATTATAATGCGGTAACTGAATAAAATCTTATAACACCCGATTCTCATATATATATATATATATATATATATAGGGATTTGCTTTCGTCATTTAACATGACCACAAAAAGTTTCTTACACACAACATTTTGTGGGACCCGCATGTTTTGAAGAAGAAGAAAAAAAAAAGCTACGACACGCAAAACGAATCTCTATAAAATAACAGAATCATTTTTCCTACAACATAATTCTTATAAAACTCATATATATATATATATATATATATATATATATATATATATATATATATATATATTAAATGAATTATTTAGACTTACCATGGAGTCAAAATAAACTAACATTACACACACCATTATTAAATAATTGGATGCTGATCAGGGAAATAAATGGGATTATCACTCATGAATACATTGTACCAATAGATTCATTTATTATTTCTTCAGATGAATCTTTTCCTGTGCCAATATTTATATGTGGCCATTCAGTAATCTGACATTTGAGATAGTTTGTTTTCTTTCCCAATTATGGAGTTGGGTCGCCAAAACATTCCCTCATCTGCAATCTTGTCCTTCTTTCTATTCTTGTTCATGGTGTTAAGCATAGTTTGGAGATCAAAAACCAAGCCTTCAAAATCCAAGTTGCCACCAGGACCCCCAAAATTGCCTCTTATAGGAAACATGCACCAGATTGGTGCAATGCCACATCAAGGCCTAGCTAAATTAGCACAGAAATATGGCCCTCTAATGCACATGAAAGTTGGTGGACTTTTCATCATAGTGGTGTCTTCCGCTGAAATTGCCAAAGAAGTAATGAAGACACATTACACCACCTTTGCAAATAGGCCTCATCTTCTTGCTGCAGATGTTATAACTTATGGTTCTAAGGGCATGAGCTTTTCCCCTTACGGAAGTTATTGGAGGAAAATGAGAAAGATTTGCATGTTTGAGCTACTAACTCCAAAGCGTGTTGAATCATTTCAATCAATTAGGGAAGAGGAGGCATCAAATCTTATCAAACAGATTTGTTTGAGTGAAGGGTCATCTATCAATCTCAGTGAGATGATCATTTCATTATCCTATGGCTTAACATCACGAATAGTGTTAGGAGGCAAGTCTGAAGATCAAGAAGCATTCATAGCTGTTATGAAGGATGTCTCAAAAGTAGTTGCTGGTTTCTCCATTGCTGACTTGTACCCTTCCATTCAAATGCTGCAAGGTTTGACAGGAATAAGGTCCAAAGCTGAGAGGCTTCATCAAGAAATAGATAGGATCCTTGAGAAAATTGTCAGAGATCACAGGGACACAAGTTCAGAAACAAAGGCAATTAATGTAAAAGCAGGTGAAGATCTAGTTGATGTCCTGTTAAGGCTTCAGAGGCAGAACAACCTTGAGCAATCTCTATCTGACAGTGATATCAAAGCAACCGTTTTGGTTAGTATTTTGCTATTAGAAATCACATTAAACCAAACCTCGTAATTTCCAAAGATAGTTCCAAATAGATATCATCAATGATCAATTAAATGCAGTTGACTAATTTGCTTACAACCTTTTTTCTTTGTTAAAGGCAGAAGAAAAAGCAGACTCATACATACGCAGATTTTAAATATCAACAGTTACTATTGACTTGAAAAAGCTGCACTTTCAAATCTCTGACTTGTATATTTAAGTGAAGAAATTTTTGCAAAAACGTTTAAGTAAAATCTGTTTATGATTCTTGAATTTCAAAAAAAAAAAAAATATTTGTCCTGGAAATTACTTAATAATACAATGAACCATTTGTCAAGTCAAGTTTGAGTTGTCATTAGTTAATAGTGCAGTAAAGCTGCAAAGAATTGATGGCAATTATGTTAATGTTACCATTTCTTTCAGGATATGTTTGGTGCTGGAAGCGTTACTTCAGCAAAAACCATAGAGTGGGCAATGTCTGAACTTGTCAAAAACCCAAGGGTGATGGAAAGAGCACAAGCTGAAATAAGAAGGGTCTTTGATGGGGAAGGGCATGTAGATGAAGCTAAACTCCATGAACTTAAATACTTAAAGTCAGTCATCAAAGAAACCTTGCGTCTACATATTCCTGTTCCATTACTACCAAGGGAATGCAGTGAGAGATGTGAAATCAATGGTTATGAGATACCAGCTAAGAGTAAGGTCATTGTTAATGCTTGGGCAATTGCTAGGGATCCAAGCTATTGGATTGAAGCTGAGAAGTTCTATCCAGAAAGGTTCCTTGATAGCTCAGTTGATTACAAAGGTGCAGATCTTCAATTTATTCCATTTGGTGCTGGAAGGAGGATTTGTCCTGGCATTACATTTGGTATTGCTAATGTTGAACTCTTGCTAGCAAATTTGCTTTTCCATTTTGATTGGAAGATTCCTAATGGGAATAAGCCTGAAGAACTTGACATGACTGAGTCTTTTGGCTTGTCCGTGATTAGAAAACATGACCTGTACTTGATTCCTATTGTGTATCACTCATCTGCTACATTTTGGGTAAACCTGAAATCATCCTGCAGGCTGAGCCGCCAACAATATTGTGCAGATGGTTAATATGAGAATTAATGGGAATAAATGAAAATAAAGTTTTTATTTTACCAATTTTATATCTTAAAGCAATTAGTATGTGATCCTTTAACAGAATTCTATCACACATGAATTCCATCACTTACTCTTTGGGCCATTCAATAATTTTCCTATTCTAAAATCCTACTGCACAAGAATTAAGAATTTTTTAAAGACATAAATTTACTAACAACCTATGATGCACCGATATTGACACGGGACACGCGACACGACACGTCAGGAGACGTCGACACGTAAATTCTAAAAAATGTCATATTCCGACACGTTGGGACACGTTTTGATATTAAATAATATTTTTAATATATATAATATAATTTATATTTAATACATATAACAATTCATAATAAGTCATATAACCAATCAAATATTCAAATTTCATAACATAAATATAAACAAAAATAATTTTTCGTACTTTGTTAATTTTTCATGTAAATTTCTTAATAGAAAAAAATTGATTTATAATTTTTATTTTATTTTTAGTTAATAAAATAAAATTAAGAAGTAAACAAAAAAAAAAGTGTCGGACGCGTGTCGAAAAAAGTTGACTGCATGTCGAAAAAATATGTCGGAACGTTGATCGCGTGTCCCAAAAGATTGATCGCATGTTGGACGCGTGTCGAAGCGTGTCCGTTTCAGACAAGTGTCTGACACACACATTTTAAAACAAAGAGTGTGTCCGTACTTTAGACCTAATAACTTTAATTATAAAAGAAATATGATTATATTTGCTCATATATTTTTATTAAATATTTATTTGATTTATATATATATATATATATATATATATATATATGAAAATTAATTATTTATCATATCACCCAAAACTAAGTTATGTTGGATATTTATTTTTCTTATTTAATTGATTGAAAATGGATATCATATTTCTCTCTCATCCTTTATTATCATTAATCTATTTTTACATGGTTATGATTTCTCTACTTCACGAATCCTTACGTCAAAATCCGATTATTTGTCTCTTTATATTTTTATATATATATATATATATTTATATATATATTTATGGTTAACAAGTGAAAAAGGTGTAGTCATGTTGCAGTAACTCAATATTAATAAATTACATGTGTAAATTTGAGATTAAATAATAAGAAATTACATTAATTGTACACACATGTATATATGGCATGCTACAGTGCATTACATACATTAAATGAATTGACATTTATAATAAAGTTACATTATCATTATAATGTAAATAATGAAAAAATTCATCTTATTTGTATTCAAAAAATATTTAAAAAATAAAAATTAATGAGACTTGAATTCTTGTCAATCGATCATAAGAATTCTGATACTAGGTGAAAGATTACATCTTTTGAAAATTAAGTTACTAAGATCTGCGAAAGATTCTATATTTAACCATGTCATTAGTTTTGAAGGTCTAGTAAATGATGCTCCATAAAGAAATTCATGCCATACATATTAGGAAGAGCAATGTCATCATGAGATGGAAAATCTTCTGAATAATAAATTTTACTTGATTTTATCATATAAAAAATTATTTTATTGTTAAATTTTATAAAATAAATCCTACTTATTTAATGTTAATTTTAAAAAATAAAACATTTTTTTTAATACCATTGCAATTGGAAGGATATAATTTATAGTTACAAATCAACCTCACGTTAGGACTACATAAAATTTTAATTAGTTTATATAAATAAATTTTTAAATATTAATCATTATATTTATAAAGCGATAAAAGAAAAGAGAAGAAAAGAAAAATCATTTTAATTACTCCTTTTGTCATTTTTAAGAACATTCATTTCGTGCTAGCACTCCTACTTGCAAGTTGTACTGTAAAGGGTTGCTTAGTACACAGTGCTTCACAGGCTCACATCACACGCATACTCTCTCTCTCTCTCTCTCTCTCTCTCTCTCTCTCTTCCTTCGTTTTCTCTCTGTCACCCTTACTTCCAAATTTCGAACCTTTCGTACTCCCTTATGGAAAAGAGCCCCGAAACCGAAAACGGGTCGGCTCCATTGTTGGGTTGTGGTGACTGGAGAGACCAGAGGAAGCAAAACAACATGAGCATCTCCGAACTGGTTTCAAAGTTGAGAGACACGTTTCTGATGAGCGATTTTGACCGTGTGGAAGAGATCCTGATGGCCAGGGAAGCAAGGCTCAAAGAAGAAATTGAAGAGAAGAATAAGGAAATTGAGTTGCTCCAAGAGAAAATTGGTTTTGAAAGGTTGGAAAGGATCAATGCTGAGTTGGAGCTGAAGAGGGTGAAGGAAGAAAGGTGTGAAATGTCGGTGAAATCGGATGAGAATAATAATAATAATAATGATGTTCAGGTTGTGAAAGAGTGTGAAAGATGCAAGCTTGCGGAGTTGAAGAGAAAAGGGGTTGGTGATGATGGTGATACAAATGTTAATGCTGTTGGTGAAGTGGAAAGTGAAAGGATTGAGGTTTTGGCTGAAAAGAAGAGATGGGTTGGTGAGAGAGGTGTTGTTGGTGATGTGAGGAGTGAGAACAGCTTGTTGAAGGTGGAGAGTTGGAAGAGAAAGTTTTGTGAGTTGAATGAGGGGAAGAAAATGATTGAAATTGATGTTCGTGGCTCTGCAATTTTGAAAAGGAATGGAGATGTTAATGCTTCTTTGGGTGCAGGCACAGGACAGAAAGATGGTCTAGGTCTTCGTGCTACAGGTATGCAGATTCCAAGACTTTTTATTCTCCATTTGCATTTGAATATAATTTTTGAAAATAAAGTAAAATAAAAAAACAAAAATTAATGCTACTTTCCCAAATATTCCAAGACTCATTCTGTTTGGGCGCTTTATTTTGTCAATTTTGATATAATGCAGAGTCCTTATTGATGGTCAATTTATTAGTATTTCAATCCTTATTCCATCCTTCTATGGCCAAATAAAGGGATGAAACAAAGAATCATCGTGTCAAACAGATTTTTAATATTATTGACCTTTTGTATGTCAGTTCTCCGGCTTTTTTATTTTTTTACCCTTAATTAATTAATCATTATTTTATTTCTTATTCAAAACTATTTATCAATCACAATCAATAGGAGTGATTGCGTTTTGTATTTAACAGAAGCTGATTGTGTTTTGTATTTAATAGGACGCAATCAGCTCCTATTAAATACAAATCGCAATCAACTCGTATTATATTAAATTCAAAATTCAAATTACCTCCAATATTGTATTTGTCTCATTCAATCAATGTTTTCATGCTCATTTTAGGATAGTTAATCGATTAAGAGGAAGATTTAATCGATTAAATCTTCAAGTCAACCATTTTTTTTTCCAGTTTTAATCATTTAATCAATTAAATCTTCAAAGTAATCGATTAAAGAGGGACAAATTGGTAAATAATTTAGAATAAGGGACAAAATAATTATTAATTAATTAATGAAGGGCACAACAGTCACCAGTTCTCCTATTAGATAATTTATTTATTTTTCATTATAAAACAAATGTAAGAAAATAGGTAGGAAAATATTTTGTTTTTCCTTATAAAAACAAGGTTGTGGGATGTCCTGCCATATCTAAACTTAATGAAAGCATAGATCTTCAAGTCAAAGGCTGGATTTTCCATGAATGTTTGGAAAATTACCAATGTTTTATTTGGGTTACAGAGTCTACAGCTCTGCATTTCCCAAGCTTTTGCTTGTAGTATTTTGTTGGCAAGTCTAACACGAACTAACTCTCCCAAAAATTTGACCTGAAGGGTCATAAATTGTTTTGTATTATATTTTCACTGTGTCCTCTCTTGTAAGAGCTTTTTTTTAGAAATAAAGTGTGATAATATACATATATGGTGCAAGCTTGTCATCAAATAACTTTGTCATCAAGCGTGTGATAATATTTATTAGAAGAACTGGGGCAACAAAGATTATCTCTATACACTTTCTCATGAGCCAACTCTCTCAAAAATTTAAACTTCTGATAAAAGTTCATGAATAGTTTAATATTATATTTCTAACAAAATTTATTATTAGGAGGGACTAACATCTTTTTATGCACGCAGAGGGAAGATTGGGAAGGGGAATTGTTATTGATATTGAAGACAGTGATGAAGATGAGTGCAATTCACAAGCTACATTGAATAGAAAAGTGACTACTACTCCGATTATTGCAGAAAATGAACATCTAAGTTCATCAGGAGCATTCCAGAAAAACCTTCCAACAGGAGTGGCTGAACCCATTGGAATTCTCAAAAGGGAATTTGCTTCTTTTCGTGAATTTGGTACAAATATCAATATGTTGGATAGCTTAGATAGTGATACTTCTAGTTCTAGTTCCAGTTCCTCTTCTGGTTCACTTGATATGGATAGTCTCCCTATGCCTTCCCTTACAAGCAAAAGGATGAGAACTGATGCATCCAGCATTGGATTGAACTCTTCAACAAGGTAAATGGGCTGCACATATTTTAGTTTTTGGAAAAACAATGCTTGGCACAGTAACATTTTGCTGTATGAATCACAGAAAGTAATGTCATTTGGGTATAGGAGAAAAAAAAGTGGTAAAGAGAGGGAGAAAAGTTGATTGTGATGTGTGAAGTTACTTATAGTTTACCCAATAAATACCAACCTTAAAATGGATATTCGATTTTCAGAACAATGTAACTATCTATTCAAAACTCTCCCTCAGTTACGTATTCCTTTCCATTTGTATTGATGTTCATATTGATATATGCTAAATATAGCTATGTGCACTGTTCACGCAATGTGTTATATTTTTGTCCAATGATATATTATCTTATTATTTATTGAATTTAACAAACGGATGTTAAGTTCTTAAATGATATAGTAACATATAGTACATGATAAAAAAAATACATTAAGAGTATATTAAAATTGCTTTGACAGTATATTTGAGAGTATATTAAAATTGAGGCTTTATTGGAACAAAGCCTCATATCAATGGATAAAGTTTTGGGGGAAGGTAATGTCTATAAAAAAGGGAAAATGGGAGTAGAGGAAGAGATA